TCTGCAATTCTTGTCAGTAAGATTGAGGACCTGTAGTCTCAAGTCTTAAGTATACTTTATCCTTCCGTCTCGTATGAGACATCACACCCACCGCCAGCGCGCCTCCTGACTCTTGTAAAAGTACAGTTCCTCAGTCCGTGGACCACAATTTTATCTGAGCCTATCCCCAAGGGTAGTCTTATTTGAAGCTTGTCCAAAGCAGTTGCAATGGAGGGACGGTCATAATTGTACATGATGTCATCGTCTGTGTCTATATTTGCCGTGAAATCGCTGCAATAAGTAAGTGATTGCTGGCTTCTTCAATGGACACGTTTTCTGGAAGTGTCCGTTTAGAGCCTGTTGGCGGGTATTCAGCCGCGTCCAGGGATCCTTATTGACGCGTATCAGTTTTCGCATTAGTAACGGCTGTGCTGTATTAGATTAGTGGATAAAGAACAGACACTCGGTCTAATAAATTGTTCCTCTTTCAGGCCCCGTTGAAACACTTCCGGACTACAACAGAATCAGGGATCAGACATGGTGGATCCGACTATAGGATGCCCGTGTTTACTTTCAATAAGTCTTTTCTCACTTTAAGTAGAACAAACTGTCATTTAAATTGACTTTTGATATTAAAATTACAAAATGCAGTTTCATTCCTGAGTTGTTAGCTGTTCACCATTTTAATGCAGAGGGGTTGATAATCTCAACTCTGGGGGCGGTACGGAAGTTCGTAAAATAGCTTTCGGGTGGGCATTTATCCTTCATAGCCACAAGGAGTCTTTGAGAGGGTCCACTCATCAGTGCCGGCCTCTCTTCAAGGGTGAGGTATGTGGGGGGAACTTTCGAGACCTCCTTGTTTTTGATCTGAGCGCCCCCGCTAAGGCATCCTATAAAGGAAGACAGCAAATAAGAACATTCGTTGAAAGATCTAAGTGTGAAATTTCGGACGTAAGTTGTTACCAATAAAAAAAACAAAAACGGACTTCGGTTACCGTTGAATACGAAGTTCAGTCGAACGTCCGGTTTCATGTAACATGGATGTATAAAAAATGTTGTCAGGCAGTGCGGGCCACCGACCTACGCTATTACATGCTCTGTAGTGTGCTTCGAATGATGGGTACCAGGTTATGCATGAGGTTTTCACTTTCTTGCCATGCTTTTTATCTGTGCGAACTGCCTAAGGAGCACTGCAACTGGGCATCCTCGTTGACAGGCCCCAACCTAGGAAGGCACCAGGAACCAATGATCCGACGTACATACATCGAGAGCGTGGAGGAACGTTTTATCGATCGGCAGCAATGATGTGACATGCACAAGACGGTGTTTTCAGGAACCCCCGCTAACCTGGATTAGTCACGCGTGCCAGTAGTCTGGAGTTTGGGCGTGGAAATAGCGGGGCATGCAATAGGATTCGTTTAAACTACTGTTCCCTTGGGGAAGTTCTGACTGGTAAAATGGAGCGGCTTCGTGCGATTTGGACTTCCGAACAGCCTTAAAGCATTTCTGAACGGTTAGGTGACTGTCGAAATACTTAATATATCACAGCGTGCGCTCATTGGGCCTGTTTACCACACAACTGGTCTTTGTGAATTCGATCAGATATCGCAAACTGTTATCGACAGCCATAATTGCGATGCTGTACGATGCCTCGCTATGTTAGGGCTGTTAGCTTTCTCGGTGAACGGTTCCAGATATAGAGACTTACTTCC